TGGCTTAAATCCTGTATGTCGGACATTTGCACCCCTGTCTAGCACCTCTGGGTTTGAATGGTTTTACTATCCCTGCTACACTCTGTCAAGATTGCAGATGAGCTGCATTGATACTGTAGTTGTTCCGCTGTTTTTGCAGCTGCACGACTTGGATCGGTTCCGGATCAGCACTCTCCTCATGGGTACAGCGGCAGAACCCCCACCCTAATATGATGCCCTCCCTTTAACTTTCGATCCTCATTTGCCTCCCCCAATGCCTCCTCATCCTCGTGGATCGGCCTGTGACAGCTGGCCCGTTTTCCCCCCTAATGAACCACCGAGTTTATGTGGAGCGTAGTTGTCCGGTCCAAGAGTAAACCCAAATGAGATGTTGTTTTTTTCCCAGTAAGGTTCAGCCAGAGGCTCTAGCACTGATGCACCAATGAATAGGTCTCAGCGGGACGCCAGCTGGCCGGGCCCAGCACTGCGAGCTTGTCAGTACTCACAGTGTGGCCAAACCCGGGAACGGTGTTCGGGTTTTCAGGCCATGTTCTGATACCCCACTCGGGCGCAAAATATTTTACGTGTCACTTTGTATGTTTATTTGTCCTACCGAATGCACATGAGCTTTGTGGTTGAGGTGGTTTTTTGTCCATTTGACCAACTCCTGAGTGTTAGGGTTGTTTGGCCAAGATATCCTCAGGCAGCTGTTCTTAAAGCGTCTTCCAGTTTATCCATAGTCATTAATTTTTTTGTCACATTTTTAAAATCTCAGCTGCCCTCTGTGTCTGAGTTTGCTTGTTTGCCTTACACGTCGACTTCACGTTCAGCTAACTGTTGCCTCTAAATCGCCTATGTAGCCCTGCGATGGAGTGGTGTCCCGTCCCGGGTTCACCCCTCCCTGGGAAAGGCTCCAGTCCCGACCCCTCGCTACTGTACCTTGTGTGGTCCTGCCCCAGTTTTCGGGTGCAGAGTTTGATCGATCAGCACGTCTGGCTCCAAATATGACTCATCCATGGTTGTCACCCCCTTGGTGTGATAAGGTAGTCCCTGGTAAGTATTCCTGCTCCAGGCACACATTCCTGGATTGGGTGAGGGCTTTGGGGGCTTTGGGGGGGGGGTCACTGCTTCTGAATCTGCCCCCTCCCCCTTTCAGCAATGGATTTATTTGTAGGTCGGCAAAGGCAGAGTTGTCTTGACCACAAACCTAATGTGTGGGCGACTCGGCCTGAACACAGCCCCACCCAGGAGGGGGCCACAGGACTCTTATTGACAAGAAATATGAGCTGGATGGCTGGCAGTGGGGGTGGGGGGGATTCTCCGATTTCCCCCAGGCACGGAAAGGAGCCCTGCCCAGCATGTGCCCATTAATCTGTGCCGGTCCCGGACAGGAGCTCAGAACAAAGGATGGCTGATCGATCCACTGGGGCGTGGGGGGGGGGGCATATTCCAGATCTGCTTGGCGGAGGGAGAGCCTTTGAAGTGGGGGCCGGGGGCTTTTCAGGCGGCTCACACTCATGGTAATCGACACAACCGCCACGTGATGCTCGTGCATGTGGGGGATGGAGGATGGATGGAGGATGGATGGAGGGGACTCGACATACAGAAATGGGACTGAGGCTTTTTAAGCATCTGGGATCGGAGGGGGTCTGCGAAACACCAAACCCAGGTCAAATGACTCCGAACTTTACCTTTGACCTTTCTTTTGTTCACCTTCCGGTTCCATTGTGACGTCTGGGCGACCATGGCGGAGTTCAATGCATCCGTGCCGGCAGCAGAAGAGGCTCGGGTTCCGTGCGGGACGGCCCTACGTTCCTGACGGGCACGTGCCAAGGATGAAAGGCTCATGCCACATTAGCAGTGATGTCCCGTGGAACAGTGCATCTCCAGATACTTCTGGGTGCCGGATGGGTGTCATCTCTGTAACCCCCGACCCCCAGCGCGTGCCTCTGACCCGTCTTTGCTCACCCCTTGCTGATGCCCCCTCCCCCCACCCCACTCTGTAGCTACTGATTTACCTCCACGGGGCGTTACGGTCTCCTTCCCTCAATTGGCTGCACGTGTCGGCGCCAAGGCTGGGCGTCCGACCTCTGGAGTGGACCTCTTAGCGACCGCATCGAGGTATTGGCAGGCCAGTGAAAAATGAGGGCAAGTTTGGTGCGCAGAGTGGGAGAGGAGGAGAGAGAGAGAGAGAGAGAGACAGAAAGAGAGGATCAGTCAGTTTTGTTAAACCCAGGTATTGACAAAGCTATCAATTCAGTATGTGGGTTCGCTTTCCCGCGTCAGAATGTTCACGGCTTCAGACAAAGTGAAATGAAAAATCCTGGCAGCTACATCAACTCAAGAGCTCTGCACGGCTGCTATGATGTCCAGTCAGGCTGAGGGCTCCCTCTAGTGGGATGGGAAGGCGTCACGGCTGAGTTCAGCAGCTGCATTCTCTGCTGGGCACAAAGAGCAAGACAAAACATCCTTTGTTTCCCTGGAAAAAAGATCTCGACTAACATTTGAAACTTTTTGTGTGTGTGTGTGTGTGTGTGTGTGTGTGTGTGAAGTCCAGCAAATGTCTGACAGATTCTTGCATATGGAGGCAATGCGCATTTAGGACATCTCTCTGTTTCTTTTCTGCATGCCGCTGCTGTGTCCGTCGCCGTCGAGGGCGTAGATGCGGCCAAAGGTCACACATCATAAATTGCGAGCTCGGAGAAGTCAGTTGCATATTAAGTAGGCGGCCGCACACTTGATAAACCCGGGGCCCTCTGGAGACCCTGATCAATAAATAATTTCCAAAGTCATGCTGTTGTTGTAAAAGGACTCGGGACGAGGGGCCCGAACGTGCCTGCAATGCTGACCAGCCCCCCGCCAATCACTAAATGATTCCCATCCTCCCAGACGCAGCCGTCCGAGGCCTCCTGAACAAACAAAGAGATTAGATCCTGCCCCTCGGATGTGAAGGGGGGCTGGACTTGGGGGGCTGGGGCCGTCCATCCACCGGCACGGGTCACATGGGGCCCCGGATGTTTACACGGGGCCCTTCATTCACTTCAGGCTTAGATGGGTGCCGGTCCTTTGTACTGAGGGCTTTGTCACTCTTCCCACAATCCAATTCTTCCTGTAATGTGGTGGTGGTGGTGGGGGGGCGCCCCCCCCCCCCCC